ATTACCACTGGCTGCTCGGCGATGTCAAAATATAGATGTAAGGTAGATTTTAAGTTAGTTTTAGTAGAAAATTATCAAGATAGAGATGAGCTCTAACACTAACAGTAAAAAAAACAAAGCTTAAACAGAATTGCTCTGAAAGACCTTAAAATATATATTAGATACATTACAAGGAAATCTAACAGCAGATATAAGAAACCAACCACCAATGAACCTGTAAATATCGAAAAAATAAATAAATAATAAAAATAGTCATATATTTCAAGCGAATACCAAGTTCAACACAATAATTTACCATATGAATCACTAATTTAAAAAAATCAATTAATAGAACGAATCGGAAATTTTATTATCTGTGAATATTTACAAAATAAATTAATCTTCTGAGAACTTAAGAATGGATAACCTATAAATAGTAGCAACATTGCAACTAGCAGTACAGATGATGAAAATGACTTGGATATATCCAGACAAATCTCTTTTATCATAAGAATTATTTTGTTTATTTATAGTTTCGACAACAAGATTAATAATTTCTTACTTAGGTTTATCAATAATTAATCATTTATTAACCAAATTAATAAATAACATGATCTTCTAGCAAACTCAGATTCTTGTAAGAATTTTCCCCATATTTTTTTTCTTCTTTTTTTATAACCTAAAATAATCGTTTTTCAACTAGTTACAAATAATGTTTAGCTAATAAATAGAGAAATTATTTGCATTGAATTTTGCTACAATATTTTCCCTATAATTTACATTGAATTTTATCCTGCTACATTGTCCTATAATATACTCGCTCTTATGTTGAAATGCATTGGGACTCATGTTTTAAACGATTAATAGAAAACATGACGTACTTTTAAGAGAACGATATTTTTTTTCTTTCACTCCGTAGATTTTGTATGTATAAGGTTCCCCATAGGCAGAGAGAAATGCTTAAAGAACTGACACCAGACATCGAGTGCTACAAAAAAGTTGATATAAACTCATGGCCCAATTTTCAGTAGAAGAGTAAGCAAATCCAAGTTTGTTTTTTTTTAAGTAAGCCGTGTTTTTTGTTGAATAGGAAGCGATAAGTAAATAAATAAGTGATTAAAATTGCTTCACTGTAAACTAGACAAAATTTAATTTAAATGAAATTAGAATTTATCATTGTTAAAAAAACCACTCAAAGGGGACTTTTGAGAGGATAAACTAAGCTATCTTCTGTTTTTAATAAAATCATAAATTATTCACGATTTTGTTTTATCATTATCCGACAATACTACAGATACTCCACTTATTCGTTTAATAAGCTTTAATTCTTTATTAATTAAGTAGAAGTTTTTTGGGAAAAATATTAGATTCATCTCAAGTTGTGTAAAAATGTGATGTTTTATCCTGTCAAGTAAAAGTATCCCAGGAAAAATGACTACAATCAATTGTTTGCAAAGCTGTAATTTCTTGTTTTTTAATGATCTGGGATGTACTTTTTTATTTCTAAACAGAACATAATTTTTTTTTCAAATATTTTTTGGTTTTCAAATATATTATATATCAAATATTCAAATATCGGTGTTTATAATACCGTGTTTTTCATCCAGATCCATATTATATGAATTCATTCGTATTTTTAAGGAACAAGTTAAATGTTCATGATCACGTACATTTTAGGGCTAGAAATATTTATTTTGCCACTTATTAAACGGAAAAGTTTCCTAAAAGGGTATCTGTAGTATTGTCGAATGATGTTAAAAAACAATTGGGAATAATTTATGATTTTTTAAAAACAAAACTTAGCTTAGTTTAACCATTCAAAAGTACTATTTAAGGGGCCAGTTGCTCCAAGTCAGTAAAGCTTAGATTAACCGTTATTTAAGATTAAACTTGGTTTAATCTTGATCGGTCGACCTTAGAAAACTTGGTTTAATCTTAGATAACGCTTAATCTAAGCTTTACTGACTTGGAGCAACTGGCCCTAAATGGTTTTAACAATGACAAATTTTATTTCCATTAAAAGTGAATTGTGTCTATTTTACAGGGAAGCAATTGTTAATCACTCAAATTGATTATTTCCCTAATTATAGCTTCCTATTCAACAAAAACATGACGAATACATATGAAAATTGGTCTACTGTTTATATGAAATTTTTTGTAGTTCTTGGACTCTGCTAAAAAAATTTCCTTTACTTACGGGACACCATGTATATTGATTTTCTCCACAATCTGATATAGAGAAGGTAACATATACTGGTCCATTAAAAAAAATATCTCTAAACTCGATTCTAACGTTTTCGAGCTTAACTTATGGAAATCACACACTATATTTGCTTATTGTTATTGAACAAAGATCAAATCCAATCGATTATTTGAATGGTTGATTCAATAAACTAGATTTTGACATTTTTTTCATAAGATATCTAAAGTAAGTCTAAACGCTTTTTATAGGCAAATAAAATATAAACTGCTTAGATCTCTCGATTTATCGAATAAAGACGACGATTGACGTTCAAAAATGAATAGCTAATAACACACGGGATATTGGATTATTAATTAGCCAGTTTATTTTTAATAATACATCTTTGTTTTCATATATGCTTATTGTGAGGCTTACAATATAATCTAAAACACAAACAATGTGGGCTAAAGGCTACTTGTGTTTATGAATCGAAATCCATTAACTATGTACTGATGGCCAACTCTATACAAGGGTATATGAAACAACAGGAGGGATTGGTGATAATATTGAACCCTACTGGTATTATGGAGCCCATTGATACCTTAGCGGTAAGAGATAATAAGTTGACACTGCTGGTACTGGTACGGGGGTGGGTAATAGTTTGAAACTGACGGCTACCTTGAGGATGCTACCGCGTACTTACATAGTAGGAATAACAAGATTAATTTTCCGTGGTCGCCGAGAAATGAAAATTAGTCAACCCAGGTGGGAATCGAACCCATAAAGCTCACTCTGGGAGAAAGTTCATTTGCGTCAGTCTGTTCGTGTTAAAAAGTTAATTCTAATTTATCGATTATTAGAACGTCCATAAGAAAAGTTTAAACGTTTATAATAGCTCTGTTATAAAAAAAAAAAAATGATTTTAGCACTATAAATCCGTTTGCGGTTCACTATAATAATTAAGAGGTTAACGGAAGAATGTAATAATATGATACTTGAGAAACAGACCGGATTCAGAAGTGGTAGGTCATGTATAGATAATTTATTTATACTTACTCAACTTATAGAAAAAATTAAACCTCACAATAAGGAGATTAATTTAATATTTGTTGATTTACAAAAATCATATGATACAGTTCCTCTTAGTAAACTATGGAGTGCTATAGAAAGCACCGAGGTAAGCTAGTATATGATCCGAGCTATAAAAGGATCGTATTCACATGTGACAGCAAGCCCAAATATGGCCTAATAAAGGAATTTTCAATTACCAAAGGCCTAAAGCAAGGCTGCTCAATCTTCCCTCAACTGTTTAATATATAAGTTGAAAGTATCCTTAGCCTATGGAAAAGAAAGTGTAATGGTATGGGGATAATCGGAGATAATGAATAACTGCACGATTTGCCGATGACTAGGTCATTATTGCAAAAGACTAAGAAAATGCTTCATTTATGATGAGGAAGCTGTTAGAAGCTTATACGGAAGGAGGTCTGGAAATCAGCAAATCAAAAAGCGAGTATATGCCATTCAATAATAGTGGGAACTCCCCATTAAATGTTAGCGAATAGGATTTGGCTCCAACAGTTCAATTTAAATATTTAGGCATGTCGCTTGCGATGTGAAGCAACAGCAAGAAAGATCTTCATGAAATGTCATTAGAGGGAGAAAGGTCATACGCACTTTAAATTTATTTTTAAGGAATAAAGATGCCAGGCTCAAAAAGATACTACACCATTCTTTTGAGTAAGCACTATTTTATAAGGCTTAGAAACTTAGACGATTTCAACCGACACGACAAGAAAATTGTTATCAGTCGAGAAGGATTTTTGAAAGCGTGGCTGTAGGATATCAAAACTACATCATATTTTAAATAATGTTATTAGAGATAAGGTGAACGAACCTCTCAACATCCTGTACTCCATTGGGACAAAAAAGCTGAGTTGTTTTGGGCATGTAATAAGAATGACAGACGACCGATGGCCTAAAAGAATACTTCAGCATGTACCATTGCAAAGGAGAAAGAGAGGCCACACACAAAAGGGATAGTTGAAAGGTTTACGTGAGGCTGTAGCAGCAAGGGGACTCCGGGAGGAAGACTGTTTTGATAAAAAGAAACGACTACGGGGATTAGGTTACGAAATACGACCTTAATGTATTCTAAATAAAGTGCTGCTTCACCTAGGCATCATTAATAATAGCTGTTTTACGAGATTTATTATTTTTACTTCTCTGGAATAATGAAACCTTTTTTAGCACAGCACCGCGAGTTGCCCGGCAACCAGATAACCGTGGTTATGAGATTAAAAAAAGTGCGAGTTCCTGTCTCGGTGCCGGAGGGTATTTTAAATTCCCCGCCATTACTCTCCGGTCCGGCAAAACCCCGTATAGCCTAAAAGGCGAGGTAGGGAAGGGAAAAAATACATATAGGTAAGTGAATGTAAAAATGGTAAACTGCACATGAATGAATCAGAATTTCATTTATTTTCTTTAAAGAAAAGTGATAAAGAAATCTGGAACTTGGAGCCCGGAAATCTACCATATTTGCACAATATTCTAAAGTGTACTTAGTGGTGTCATAAATATTTTTACAAGGAAATATATAGATTTCAACAGAAAAATTATTTTTTTCAAAAACATTGTTAGAAAATAAAATGTATACCCATCGAGAGTAAAACAAAAAAGAAATTACTCAAAATGTCCCCATTTTGTCTCAACACAGGCATTTAATCTCCGTGGCCAGTCATCAATAGCAGCACACAGCACTTCTTGAGGAAAGCGCTCAACTGCTCGGACCAGAGATTGTTTGTGCTCTGTGGCATGCCATTCTCTCCAGTCCGATCATCTAGTGGGTTGAAAGCAGGGCTTCCTGAGGGCCAATCCGAGGCAGAGATGAACTCTGAAATGTTATTTTGTAGCCACTGCTGTGTTGACCCAGCCTTGTGAGCTGGAGCGCCTGCTGGAAAACCCAATGACTTCCAGCGAACAGAGTATCATTTCGAGGCTTGACAACAGGTTCCAAAATATCGACCTGATAGCTGTTTTAACTACTTTTTCGCAAAAATGGAGCTTTGTGGTGCCAAAGCATCACCAAGGAAGGGTGATGACCTCTTTCCACTCTTCCAATGACTTCCTGGTCTTCTTTGGAGCTGAGTGCGTACACACGATCATTTTGGCGATTAAATTTCTTACAATTATAAAAATTTTCTCATCGCTAAACAAAATCTTTCGATGAAGACCATTGCTGTAACGGCCAAGGAGCATTTTTCATTTATCCACTCTAATTTTTTTTTTAGGGAAGTAGCCTTTGTCCTGTCATTCTTCGAAATGCACCCATCCTAAGATCACTTTTTATTATGTGAGACATTGATCATTTCTGGTGACAGATTCCCATTTCTGGAGACATGATTTGTTGTTTTCGGATGAGATTTCTTCTAATTAGAGTAGCTACTTCTCTTACTGCATTTGCAGTTCTCACATTGCGGAGGCCCGGTCGAGGTCTGTCACATACAGATAGGTTCCCATTGTATCTATTTATAGTGCGGTACAGAAACATACGGCTGATACCCAAAGGTTTAAAAGTGTTAAAAATCTCAGACCTATATTTTCCAAATTTGTGTAAGGCGAATCACAGCTATTCGTTTTTGTTTTTTTTATCACTCCACTCCATATTAAGTGAGTGAAAGAAAATACAAACTAATTGGGATTATTATCCTGACATGTAAAGAAAATAACCTGATAGAGGTAAGGATTATCTAAATAATACCCAAGGATGTAAACAAAGTTCAACTTTTATAACAATATTTACGGCAGAACTAGGTATACATAGATTATTTATAAATGAGTTGGAAATTTTATATTACTATTTCAGTGTTCATTACTAGTACATGAACCCTCATTTTTTTCCAAATTAAGGAGAAACGGGTAATAAATAACGCATTAAATTACTTGATAAAGAACTCGCTTCTAGTCAATTGGCCAATGTGACGTGTATTTCACTGTTACTTAAAGAAATAAAAATTCAACCTTTTTTTTTTCGAAAAATGGCTGAAAAGTTATGAGCTTTTTGAGTAAATTTGGAGTCTAACTAAGCACGATGAAGAAAACAGGAAAGCCATTAAGGTTAAAACTAAGTAGTTCTCTGAAAAGTTCAGAAAGTGGTGGGCGAGTTTCTATCGAAATAAATTCGGATTCTTCGTCGCAGCTGAAGTATGATTTCTCTATCTTTGTAGTGGTCTCGATAAATCAAAATCCTTACACAAATGTAAATTTATATACGAAAAAATCATTTTTGTTACTTAATCAATAAATCAAAAAGGAGAAAAATTGCTCGAATAAAACTCATAATGAATAATAAAAATTCATTAACAGAAAAACTATTGTCTACCGCTAAAGTTTATAGCAGAGTCAATTCAGAATGAAAATCCTTTTAATTTATTGTTGCGTAATTTATACATTATTACACGATTCATTTTATAACAGTAAATCTTCATGTAGCAATTTTTAAACTATTTTTATCGAAGTCAGTGACTCCCAAAAAGATTAAAATCTACCATAATATAATTTTGTCCAGTTAAATCTGTAATTTTTCCCACTGTGATACTTTTTTATATTATATATATATATATATATATATATATATATATATATATATATATTTATTATATATATATATATATATATATATATATATTTATACAATATTTTTGATATTTTTCGAAATATAATGTATTTTCTAAGCCGACCCGGTATCAAGAGTGAATATTTCTTTAAGGAAGAAACAAAGTTGATACTTTAAGCTCATGAGTGGCTATTTCTAATGAAATATTCAATTACTTGCCTAGTGAAGCTTTTCAGAATACTATATTCCCCTCCGGAAGAAGGGATTTTCCAAATGCTTCAATATTGTATCCGATTGTAGCTTTCATTACCAACAGGTCGTCTGCACAAATCTAAACTGAGACGTCATTATTGGAAATTGACGTTCCAAAAAAAAAAAACCCTTATTCATTTAATTTTTTTTTTATGAGAACGTAAAGCTTTGGGTTAGGAATATTTATTTTTTCACTTAATATAGTAAGGACAATTCCCGAAATTAATCTCTGTACAAAAACACTGGAGCAAAAAATAAATAAATCAAGACTTAGTAATAATTTTTGCTAACTAGTAATATCCGGTGAGAGAGTTTTAAATTTACACAACTAGAAGTGAATGATCCTTATGACAAACATCCTTATAACAAATCTTAACTAGTAATTTAGGGCCTAACCCCGAGGTCATCGTCGCCTACAAATCTCAAAATAATTAGTTATTATTATTACACTATTAATTAAACTAATAACTATTAAATTATTAAACAGAGACTTTCCTAGTCCCGATGGAGGTTGATACAAAATATCTCGAGCAATCCATGATTTTACAAAAAACAGAACTTGGCGTAATTTAATGTTCCCCTTTAAAAGATTTTAACAAAAATAAAACTTGTTTTTTTTTTTTTTACTTTCAGTTGTAGGAAATTTTGTCAAGTTTTCTATGAAAAAAATATATATTTAGGCAATTATTTTTATTATAATACATCCCAGATCATGGAAAAACAAGAAATAAAAGCTTTGCAACAGTTATTTGTAGTCATTTTTGCTGAAAACACTCAATAGAAAATCAAATCATTTATTTACACAGCTTGAGTTGAATCTCAAGTTTATGCCTAATAAACCTCAATTGAATTAATATGAACTTAAACCTTACTAAAAGGTTCCATTACTAAAAGAGGTAATTTTTCCTAAAAGTGAGGTAAATATACTATAGATGATAAAAACAAAAAAAAATCGCGAATAATTTATAATTTTTTTAAAAACAGGAGTTAACTTAGTTTAGTCGCTTAAATGTCCTCTTTCAATGCCGCTTTAAATAGTTTTAATAATAACAAACTTTTCTCAATTATAGTAATTTTTTTCTAATTTACAGTGAAGTAATTGTTAATTACTTAAATTAAATATTTCATTAATTATCGCTTCCTATTCAACAAAAAGCATGACTCTCTTTAAAAAAAGTCTGCCAAGTAAGGTCAGTATAGCTTCCTCGCCGTTTTCATTGGCTAAATTATTAAAATATTACAAAGTATAAAATTTTTCGTTTGAGAATGATATCGCTGGGAGAAGCTGATTCGGAAATACAGTTACCCTTTAACATTCGCGGGTTTGATATCCACGAATTTTGTTTATCAGCTTATATTAAAATGCGAAAGAGTGCCGTATTTTTATTTGATTATCCTTATTTAAAAAAAAAAAATGCATACTTAAGATGTATTCCACTACTGTAAAAACTAATTATTTTGTTATGCTTTATTAGTATAATTTCATATTTTATTGTCATCAGAATATTTTCCATTGTAGCAGATTACTTATATCAGTTGCTGACAACAAAATGTCACCTTTAGCACAAATAGAATAAAAGTTGAAAATTTTTACATACGACCTTTTGCACTAATAGTAGCATATCACTACTTAATAGGTATGTTTTCACTCGTAAAATGGATAGAACTAGAAAATCCATAGGAAAAATTTAACTTGTTGTTTGTTCGGAGTTAATGAAACCAATGCTTTCCTTCATTCAGAACGAAAAGCTAGAAAATGTAAAAATATGGGTGAAGTTTACATTACTTCGATATTTAAGAAGAAAATCGAGACCAAGACGAATTGGTTCAACTTCAATGGAAATAAAAACATTCACAAATAAGACCTTGTTTTTGTTTACAAACTCAGAGTATAAATTATTTTTTTATTTCTTTATTGAGTATTACAACAATCTGCCTCTTGGATATTGGTTATAGTGAGGTAGGATGACATTCACACTATATGTACAAAATAAATAAAATAAATAGAAACAAAATAATAACCAAAAGTCAATTACTTTAAATGTATTGAAAATTACACGAAATCTAAGTAACGGTAGTAAGTGTCATGCCACTAACCTTTGGAAACTACGAAACAATATTGTATCAATTAATTATTTGAGTAAAACCTAAAATTTTATAATCCCATAACAATATTATAATAACCTAACTCCCACTCCATATGATCAGTGCCTTCAACATTTCGCACCTATTATATTTTTAACAATTATTTATATTAATTTTAATTATTTAATGGAATTCAAAGAAATTGATACTAAGTAATTTCTATACTGTTCTCCAAATTTCCTCCAAGTTTGGGTCAAATTGAATGCACCGTTTCCAAACTATAGGCTTATCAAATAACACATTTCCTGATCTGAAAGCGTTTTTTTTTTTTTTTTGAGTAGTAGATAGAATTTGATAAAATTGATGCCTATTTCATTTTAGGTTTACCAAAATTTGAGCCAAATCCAACTTTCGCTTTTAGAGATATAGACCAATCAAGGAAAACACCTTTGCACATATATAAGAGAAAGAAACAAACATAATTCAATAAAATTGACTCTACATTATTTATTTATTAATACCTACATTTTTTCTAACTTTGAGCCTAATTGAACGAGCCGTTTTTGAAATATTGGTATATCTACAAAAATGAGTTTGCGCGTGCGTAAGCGGAAGTGCAGGTTAGAATTTAATAAAATTGATGTGGGACCATCTAGACACCAACCCACACAATTCCTGAAAATTTCATGAAAATTGGATTAACGGTACTAGGTGATATGTACGATCTACGATTTATACGATTGGAAATTTTTGATTCTGAGCAAAAATTTGGTTTAACCTCTCGCACGAATACAATTCTTTCCTAGCTTCGGTAGTGAGTAAGCAAAAAACACGAAACTTGGATTTCCTACTTTTCTGTTAAAAATTGAGCCATTCTTAATATTAACGTTTTTGTAGATCTTAAGATCTGCTATCAGTTTTATCAAAATTTTCCTTTACTTACACAGGGATAACTCGGATAGGGACTTCTGCAAATCGGTTTCTTTATTCTCTATAGCATTTGAATTTTAAGATATTTTAGTCCAAATGTACAACACAATCGTTATTTTTTTTATCTTTTGTTTTGACGCTATTTTTCCTCTTTCCCTCTCTCTAGCTCGGCGTCGTGTTAAGGTACAATTTTGAATAATAGCTCATTACAGTATGCAGGTCCGATTTTTAGTTTTCTAGATATTTTAATCCAAATGCAAAAATTAGTCGACTGAAGCCAACTTTAACCGAATGAGCGCTAAATGGCCGCGAGACAGCTAATATACGAATACGACCCAGAAATACCCACAAAAAAATGCTAAGCACACCTAAAGAAGTTTTCACCGCAATAATTGCATCTTAAAATTACCTGTGTGAGAATATCGAGAAATCAAAAATTATATAATTCAGCCAAGAAAGGCCAAAGAAAGAAAAAGTGTTCACACACAATAGACACGTAATAGAGGAAGTATCTGCCATTTCATACTTAGAGCTCAGATTTTCAAAATTAGGTATTTTCTTAAAAGCTGCAGAGCAAACCAAGCAAGCGGTACAGTGACAGATGTATGTATTAAAGTTAGAAGAAGTGATTGAAACTCCAAGAAGAAGTTATGCCACTCCATGTGTTACCTAGTTTATTATATCTGCTCGAATACACTGACATTCTTGAAAATTGCCATTTAGCGTTCAAAAAAGCTGTTACCTCTCCATGCTTCCTCCTCAAATTAAATAGGTTAGAAAAAGAGGAAGCAGATGTTTCCTGCTTAGTCGTCCAAGATGGTTGGACAGAGTTTTGAATATGAAAGAAACAAGATATCCAAAGCAATGCTTACTTAGGCTAATTGAGATGGCAGAGAAATATCCTAATGGATATCACAGCTGAGATACTTTTCAGGAGGCATGTTATTGAGGATATTGTCTCATGTAACCCAAGTGATGGATCAAGAACTGAGTGGATAACGGTTATAATGGAAAAAGTTAAATGCTAGTTAAGTCATAAAGATATCCAAAACATTGAATCCTCTATCTACTGCCCAAACTACAGATTAATATTTGATCCATATTTAGCAACTCAGACCATCCTTACATCTCCAGTACCATAAAGATTTATAAAACTTATAACATAAATATAAAAGAACGTCAAACATAAAGTTTATGAAGCTAAATCATGAAAAACTTACCAACACATTAAAAACAGAATGTTTATGCTCGTTTTGTAATTTGATTGAAAGAGAAGATTTGCATCATATTTACATAATCTGTCCCATTTATAATTCCTATAGGCTAGAACTATTGCCCACATTAAATTCAATAACCTCTGCCATGTTTACGTCATTTATAAAAACAATAACTAGAGAGCAGATATCCAATTTATATTATTATACAGTTTATAGTCTCAATTTACGCTCATTTATCCAAAATGTATTGTTAATTATATTTGTAATTTACAAATAATATTTTTTGATAAATATTATTTGTTTGTAAAGTATTTCAAATTGCGTTGCAACGGAGAAAGCATGTAATAGTACTAGCCTGTGGTATCGTATGGTATGGTTGGTGTAATAATTAATGTTCCGTTGTATAGTATGGTATGGTATTATAGCTATATTATATTATGCTACATTATATTATGTTATGATATATTATTTTATGAGTAATATACCTTGCTGATATTTGTTTTGTGTAGAAAAAAAAAGAAAAATATATTATAAAATATATGATTCAAGTACAATAAATTAATATACTAATGTTATATTAGTACAACTCCATTTGTACTTTGATTTCAAAATAGGAAATTAATTTACTAATACAATATTGTAATAATCGAAATGTGTAAATCCACCCTATTTTATTTTATTTATATTTGTATGAGGCCAGTCACCAAAACAAAAAAAAAAAAATATATATATATATATTCTTCAATAATTGCTTGCGTTCGAAAATTTACTCTAGTACATCAAAGAACAAATTTCATGTGGTGCCTGTCGGTCTGTCCATCTTCATGTATCCTTATCATTACACCTACTATCGTTCATAACTTGGTGATTCAATGTAGACATCGAAGATCTAGAAACATCAATGAGGAAAAGCAGGCAGATTGAAATTATTTGGCCACGTTCAAAGAATGGGTAAAGATGGGACTAACAAACAGATATTTGACAAAGTAATGGTATTAAACAACATCGAATAATATCCTTAACAGATAAAAGAAGAAGCAGTAAGACTTGGGATAAATTCAGGAGAATAATGATTAAATAAAGGAAGATAGAAAATGGACAGAAGAACGGAAAATGGAAATGACTGAAAAGAATGAAGAAAGGTTGGGCTAAAAGGAAAGCCAAGAAATGATAATATCCTCAGTTTGCCTATATCGCTAAAATAAAAAATAAAAAATAAATAAAATAATATAATATGTGTGTGTGTGTGTTTGTTTTAAAAATAATGATTTGTAAACATTTGTCATTTAAAATGATTAAAACTGTTTTATCTAGCATGACAGTTGATCCTCATTTATAAGTAATCAACTAAATGTTTCTAATACTAATATTTACGTTTTCATAAAAATAATTCAAGTGATTGAAAAAATATTTATTACTATTATTTTTTTAGAAATGTTTTATTTATTTATTTATATTCTATTCAATTTGCACCTGCGCGACAGCGCATCTAGCAAATTTGTTGTACTTATACTGTTTTGGTGAATTTTCTTGATTTTGTTTTTATCGATATAGTAGGTCTCTTGGCCAGTTTCTTCTTAATCTGCGTCGTTCGATAGAAATGTTAATTTATAATATTGAACTTTAACCTTGAAATGGCATGGTAGTCCAATTGGTAGTGAAAGTTATATTTCGATCCAATAATGAAATATTTGGAAACACTACGTCCGTAACGTCGAGCTTCTTCTCCGAACAACATTTACAAGGAATGTTATATTTTATTTTAGAAATACATATAATATTGAGTAAATGAAAATTCTCTTGCTACAATGCATAGAAGACATCAATACCAATTTAAAGTATTAACTCATTATTGTTAAAGAATATTTTTTTAAAAAATAATACACTCTAATCGCTTGATTTATTTTAATGAAAACTTTAATATTAGGATTAGAAACATATATTTGATACAAATATAAATACAGATCAATTCATATAATAAATATCTGGGTAAAAAACATAGTTTCATAATTAATTTAGATGATAAATATTTGAAAAATCATTTTTTTAACAAAACGTTTTTTTATAAATAAAAAGTGTACCTCTGAAATTATGTCTATTAAAATACATCTCAGGTCATGGAAAAACAAGAAATAAAAGCTTTGCAACGGTTAATTGTGGTCATTTTTGCTGAAAACAAGGGAGAAAGTATATCATTTTTTTTTAGAAGAATCTCAACTTATTTCCTAATAAACTCTCAGTTGAACCAAATTAGACTTGAAAGCTAATAAAACAAGGAAGTTTGTCTAAAAGTGGAGTAACTGTAATTCGAGGGTGATAAAAAAAGTCGAGAATATAATTTATGATTTTTTTTTTAAAACAGAACTTAGCTTAGTTTAGCCGCTCAAAAATCCTCTTTTAATGGTTTTGTCAATCATGAATTATACTTTCATTTGAAAAAGATTTTATCTAGTTTACTCTGAAGTAATTTTCATTACTTAAATTAAGCATTATATAAGCGAAAAATATAGCCACGAAAATATCTCACATGCTTTAAAACACAAAATTAGAAACTCCTATTTTTCGGCGGAATATCGGCACATGGTTGATATGATTTTTTTTTACTTTCCTACCTATACTAGGTAAGGAAAGTATGGAGATCGGGTCAAATTTCCAATATGCTGTTTTCGACGGATCTATACGTTTCAGAGCCCTCGAGTCCGAAAAACACATTTTTAGACATCGGTCTGTCTGTGCCAAGATTTTTTCTGGAATTAATGAACTGATTTTGTGGCTTCTTTTTATTTTGCAGGGTTTTGACTATTGATGCCTGTGACAGAAATTGGGTGCTCCATGCGCTATAGCTACTGTGCAATCAATGAAAAACATGTTTTTCTATAGACTGTAGCACGAAAACGGCTCTAACGATTTTAATAAAACTTTCCTATAATGTTCTAATAATTGTCCTTTCAATTTTCTTATATGGAGAAAATTCAGGGAAAAAGTTATAAAGAAAAGTAAAATGTTTTGGGGGCTAAAACATCAGGTAATTAAATTACCAACAATACAAAAAAAAAAATGATGCATCTTATTCTATTTTCTACACATGTTTTAATTTATTACTTTCCTACCTATACTAGGTAAGGAAAGTATTGCGATCGGGTAAAATTTCCGAAATAAGGTTTTCGACGGATCAATGCGTTTCGGAGCTTGGTTCATATCCTAGTGTCAGAAAGAGTGAATGAGAGAAGAAAGATTACTAAGTGAAAGTAAGAAAATCTGTTGCCCGCATCACACAAGCTTCGCTATTTCCTCTACTTTTAACAGAAATTATTGTTTGACAAAATTAAATGATGGCAAAAAGATTTTGAGCAGCAGTATCACAGGGTATTGACATTTTTACACTTATCTACCTTAAGTCGGTTTACATTGCTTTAGTTTATCAAATAAATCGTACTCAAATCTTTTCTTTGAGTAATTTTCAGGAAAATAAATCTAATTCAATTTTTTTTGTTTCTTGATCGACATATGTAAAGATATAAAAACTTTTCTGAAATAGGTAGGAAAGTCGTGTGAGTGGACACACCAGATTTTTTTTTATTTGAGGTCTAATATAACTACTTTAAATATTCCTTTCTGCTTACGGCAAAGCTCTGTATAATACTGAATGAACCAAATACGTATCGGATCATTTCTGGGTTGGTTCTGATTATCCAACTTGCTCTGTATTCGAAAATATTATTAATTTTTTTAAAGGTTTTAAGTCAAAATATTACTTTAGACAAAGAAGAAATAATGGTAAAATATATAGATGTTTGGTTTTCCTTCATATGCCTCATATCTGACATTTCATACATTTATTTAAACCCAAACGCATACATACACAAACACGCATATACACACACATACATATAAATAAATATGTATACATTATAAATTTATTAAAATATCGATCGTATTTAATGAAATTTAAAGAACTAGCGTGTGAAGATAAGAGTTGCTAAAACTGCTATTTGAGCAAATGATAAACGGCTGATATAAGATTTTGCAGTGCCGATGGAGATGTATAAATACTCACTCAAAAGTAGAGAGGTCACTTTTCGACTGGAGGTTGCCAAGACATGAATTGGACCTTCATAGCACTCCTCACATTTGGTAAGTATAAAAACCAAAATGTTTCTAAAGAGGGTATTTACTTTTAAACTATTTTTATAAAGATATCAAATTATTTCCAATAATTATTATTAATAATTCAAATCCATGTTTACATTAATAATCACTATTTCCACAACTTGGTTTCACAATTTTTAACTATACATAAAAAGTCATAAAGTCAAAGTAATTGTTTGCTGTATCTTAGCTAACATTGCTCGGATTAAGTTTTTTTTTCTGTTTGTTAAACTTAGCTTTGTATATAATTTAATTATCATTAAAATGAGAATCTGAAATTTTTCGGGAAATGTATGATTTTTAATTTATATTATAAAATATATCGATATAAAGTCCAAAACATCGCATCTTTCCAACAACTTGCCATTGATAATTTAGATGATTTTACTATTTCTAGCAGAATTTGATTATCTTTCAACAGATTGCAAGTTTTAAAATATATAATTTCTGAGTTATAAGCAAATAAAGTTACTTTTCGTCATACATTACAGCAACATTTAGCTATTCAGTAGTTTTTTTTCAAGTGCACTTAATGTTATTATATACAGTATCTTCAAGGAATGTATAAGCCCGTATACTTAAAAGATTTATTCCACTTCCAACGACGTTTCGAGTTGATTTGCCCATTCTCAAGTCATCAAAAACTTTTATCTACGAAAATATATATCTATATTATAATATCAATAAATACTCATTTTCTGTACACCAAATACGAAAAATAATACCTCGTCTCATTTTTTGGACATTTACTCTAAAGCTTGTCCATTCCCGAAACTCAATCCGAATAAATCCTCTTTCTATTGTTTAATATTGACTATAAAAAACTAAAGCAACTTTCATCAAAATGGTTTCCTTTATGATTGAGTAATCCTTTTAGAGGTCGAAATCCTCGAACAATCTACAATGAAAAATTTACCATTACAACACTTTCCTTAGTTGAAACCTAATAAATAATAATATGTCTCAGTTCTCAATGGCTAAACAACAATAAAGTTCTTTTGATACAAAGACAATTTTTTTAAGAAAAGGAGTCAAGACCAATTTTATGTTTTATTTTTAAATAAAGTGTTCAAATTTGTTTGATACTCTTTTATCAAACAAATTTTTAGTTTACTATATTCAACAATGAACGATTGTAATCTAATAAAAAAATTAAAAAAGTTAACCCCTCTCAAAATTTGAGGTTTTACGTTTTAGGATACGTAGAATTCGTAACACGAATAAAAAATTTCTTGTCCATCCGCCGTCCGCACATTTTTTCCGAAACTACTGGACCGATTTTTTACAAATTTGTATTTAAAATCAGAGGTCACCCGAGGATGATCCTCCTTCATCGACATTACTATCCGCCTTTTACTTTCAAAATGGCGGAAAAACCTGTTTTGCTATAGACTGTTTCGCCTAAACAAATGTACCGATTTCAATGAAACTTGGCTAAAGCCTTCTTCTTGGTGCCTTTTAAATTTATTTATATAACATACTACGACGAAAAGAAGTTGAAAAATAGCCACAAGGGATGATAAAATTCGATTCCGAATAACTCAAAAAATATACTTTTTTTGTCGATATTGTGGATGGTTTTTTAAAAGTTTATGGGATTTCCTACAAAAATCGTTAAAATCGGACAATTAGGAGCAAAGATATGGTATCTATTTTTTTTTTTATGTTCTACTGCAAATCCTTTGTTTTGAATTTTGAATTTGTTACTGAAGTAATATTTTGTTTTTTGTGTGTTTTTTTAGCAGATTACTGATAATGAAAAAAGAATGTTTAGAAAATAATTGGAATTAACTTTTTATTTTTGTTAATTTGTCACTAGAAAAGTAATGTTACTTTACATGTATAATTGCTGGGAAATAATAAACCATTGTGAAATAATTTGCAGAGTTTTTTGTCTTTAAATTTACTAAGATCAATGATGAAAGGGAACTTCATGAGATCTAATACGGCCGCTGTACAGAGATATGTTGCTCGTGAGTGTGTGCACTATAACTACAGTATTAGATGGCCGTATTAGATCTCCTGAAAGTCCCTTTTATCATTGACTTAAGCAAATTTAAAGTCTACTTTATTATCGACCTTACTAAATGCACTGTTTTCTCAACTTTTGTCAACTTTTCGATGTTGTACTTAGAATTTAATTATCTTGGTCAGTTCTTGAGCAATTCCTTCTTATTCCATAAAAACCGTGGTTACTTAACCCCTTTTTCGTTCGGAATCGGCCTATGCATCAAATGTACTTTTTTGTTGGAAATTTTGTCTGGAATCACTCCCTTTTTTTTTCATACTGTTCAAATTTTCGTTCATATTGTTTCAAAAAGCATTTATTAAGAACGTGAAAGGTTCTGAAATTACAGAAGGTATTTGAGGCATCGCCGGTTTATCGCAGGAGGTCATTAAGCGACTTTTCAAAACCTTAGATAATTAAGAGCTTTGAAAAACGTTCCCTTTCTGGAATCAGACAATTGTGCGCTTTTGTAACTAAAATATAAGATTGATAAATAAAAGGGTCTTTGTCGTTTTCAGTTTTTTTTTTTTATCAATAAGTCAGGTAGGAATTCACGAACATATTTGAAAGTTAACTTAAATGAAAAATCCACTTACAAGGGGAGGTTACGGACGAGGTCATTGAAACTTTGTTTGGTGATACTAGGCCGAAAAATATTTAACCCATGTCCGAGGGTACTTGCCAATAGGAGCCGGTAGAAAAAATATTCCATACAATTTGATTATAGTAATGGTTTCTGACTGTTTCTATATATTTCTATGTTATTATATATCAATCGATTTGTTTTTTTATGTAAAATAAGAAGATAATATAAGTGATTGGGTTAAACGAAGTCTAATTTAAAATAACTTACAAAACCCCAAACAAGGTTCCATTAAAATAGGTCAAGTAAATTTTTTTCACGAAAAAAACGGTTCAGATTCGTTTTTAGGGTCCACTAAAGCTCTTAAATACGAGTATGTTTCGAAATAAAAAATATGAACTTTTGAACTAATTTTCTGAGTGGATTTTTTTTTCATGCCGTTTATTAAAAAATTCATAACTCCTCAGGTTTTTCTCCTAAGTCGACGTTACTAAGACCGCTGTAAAGCTAAATTATTGCTCTCCAAAACTATATCAACAACTTTTAGATTTTTATAAGGAATAAATAAATAAAAACTCCCCAAACGTTTTATTTTTTATCTCCAATCCTAATTTATTTACGGATGTCTGTTTTTTGTCGTTTTGTGTACATTATAAAGCCCTGAATTCATACTAATTTACGAATCGAAAATATTCGGTGACCCCACGTCCGTAATTTCACCTAGTTAGTCAAGGGTGTTCAGAGGGCATTTATTTGCGCAAGAAACGCCATCAAAATTTTGAGGGGGAGCCATTTTGACGGGGTTTAAAATTTTAACGGAATACGAAGAAACGATAAAGCATACCACAACTAGTGTAACTGTATATGATCTACATTTTTCTAATTCTACTTTTGTTTGAATTATTTTATGAAGAGTAGAGCAATAAAATATACTGAAAGGAGGCAGAGTTGATGCGTATCGACCTTGGGAGATGGGGAGATATTTTGCTATTGTTATTTATTTTTTTGTTATATTATTTATTATCTATTTTCGTTAACAATTAACAAAGGTTTAATTTTATTTTGTTTTTATAATTGTTGCAGTGGGACTGGCCGCAGCCGACTATGGTAATTATTACACGACTATTTTAAAAAACAATAATAGTCCGTTACGGTAATTTAATGAACTCTTAATTTCGATAGGTTGGAAAGCAGGTCAGGTATACACGTACAGGCTCTTAGGTAGGACGCTAACCGCGCTCCATCAAGTGGAAGACCGATACTCAGGATCTCAAGTAGACGCCAGGCTCAAACTCTATATCAATTCGGAAAACCTATGGACAGCTCAGGTTGGTCTTTGTCTGTCAACACATTTCTCATTCGAAACGCTAAGCATTTTTACACTTCTTCATAATTACAGGTCGAAGGTCCCAAGTACGCTACGATTCATCGGCAGTTACCCGAGGGCTGGGATACTTATATTCCAGAGTCCGAATTCAGCTACAAGAGCATGCCATCTATAAACGAACCGTTCCAGATACACGTCGCCAATGGACTGGTATAGTTTAATTCGTATTTCTAAACTATCGTCGAAGTCACGTTACCAAATTTCTAAAAAATAACAATCCAATTACAGGTCACAAAATTGATCTTCGACAAAGCTGTACAACCATGGGAACGGAACTTTATTAAGGCAATCGTAAGCCAACTGCAGGTCGACACACAGGGTAAAAACGCGAATAAAAGCAAATTTAACAGCATACCACAGGGAGAACAGGATTCTGGAGTGTTTTCGACAATGGAGGTAATTACCACTGATGGGCCATGTAAAACATTTACAATTTAGAGATTAATACAAAGATCAATTAATTATATTAATTCCTAAACAATTACTTTTCTCAGGAATCCATGCAAGGCACTCACGAAAAACAGTATGTTATACGGCGACTACCTGAACATTTTCTCCAAATGAACCCAGAACTAGTACCTTACCCACACCTGAAAGGAGATGGAGCGCATATCATTGTTGAAAAGAATACCAACTTCTCCAAAAGTGTGCTACACGTCAATTACCATTATGGACTGAGTGGACAAGAACAATGGAGTCCAGGAACAAACACTATGGGAAATATTCTTGCGGTAATTTAACTCAATATAAATATATATTTTTTATTATATTGATACATTAGTAGTAGGAGTTTAAAATATATATTATTTTTATAGAGAACAGAAAACATCAGAATGGTATTATCTGGACTATACGATCGCTTCATAATCCAGTCAACAGTGGCAACCGAGAAAGTAATGATTGCTCCACATATGTACAACACCCAAAAAGGAATGGTAGTAGGTTTTATGAATATGACACTTGCAGGAGTCACTAGCTCAAAGGGCGAATCCCCATCTATAGGAAATCCCGGAATACCGGAAAGTTTAGTTTATAATTACAATCGTGGACCATCTAAGCATGGAAGCGGAGATCATCCGTCATCATCGTCTTCTTCGTCTTCTTCTTCTTCTTCTTCTTCTTCTTCTTCTTCTTCTTCCTCTTCTGCTTCTTCTTCATCTTCCTCATCATCATCTGAGGGTTCCTCACAGAGCGGCTCATCCAGCAGCGAGGAAGAACACGCAGCCATGATGAGTATTAAACACGATAGCAAAAGAAACATACGGTCTGCCTCATGGAACAAAACAACTATTTTAATGAAACAAAGTTATGACAGCTCAGATAGTTCCTCTTCCTCAAGTGATTCTTCCATTAGTTCCAGTGAAGAATACCTAGAAGGAGCCCCCGATCTAAATAGTGCTCCGTTTATTCAATTCGTTCCAGATTCTGCAATCCCAAATCAAAAAGAGGGTGTAAAAGTAGTTGAACGGCTGGCTCGTTTATCAAGGCAAATGGCTCAATCACTTATCAACCCAAGTGAAATGTACAAGGAGGACCCTCTTGAAGCATGGTTAATTTTAACACGGACCGCAGGTATCGCTAGCTTTGAGCAACTGAAGCAAGCTACAGAAAAACTTTACTTTTCTGAACAAAAGTTTAAAGATGGTGGAAAACCAGAATCAAACCAAAACTACTTAGCTTGGTAAGTATAATCAATAAAATTTGTCTGCTTATGAATTAGTTTTTATGAATATTAAGATTATGAATATTATGTGTGGATGCAGGCAAGCGTTCCGAGATGCAGTTGCCCGTTCAGGAACTGGACCAGCTCTCCTCGTAATCAGATACTGGATTGAATCTCAAAAAGTTCAAGGGAACGAAGCGGCTCAGATCTTTGCTGCTATGCCCACAACAGCCCGCTATCCTACCACATCATACATGAATGCATTTTTTGTAAGTGCTATTATTCATTTATAATAAGTTTATGTGTACATTGATGTTCACACATCACTATTAATTAATTTTATTTTCATTAGGAAATAGTGAAAAGTAAGACAGTACAAAACCAGAGGTACCTCAACACTAGCGCACTCCTGGCATTTTCTGACCTCGTCAGAAGAGCCCAAGTACACCACCAGAGCGAGCACAACCGCTATGCAATCCATCTGTCGGAAGCTGAACCATTTAACCACTACGCTGTAGTCGAAGAACAGTACCTTCCCTACTTGCAACACCGATTAGAAAATGCCGTCAACCAAGGAGATTCCGGTAAAATTCAACATATCATCCGCGCCATAGGTAATACAGCACATCCCAAGATATTAGCTATATTCGAACCACATTTGGAAGGAAAACGCAAGATCACCGACTTCCAACGAGTTGTAATCATACACAATTTGGAAGAATTAGCTAAAGTCCATCCTAAAACTGCTCAAGCAATTTTGTTTAGAATATATCAAAACAAAGGAGATGCTCCTGAAGTGAGGGTTGCAGCTGTAGAGCAGCTAATGAAAACCAAGCCTCCTGCACAAATGTTACAACACATGGCAGAACAAACCAACTACGATCATAGTAAACAAGTCAACGCTATGGTTAAGTCTTCAATTGAGAGCGACGCAAATAATGAATTCAATGACCATCCAGAATAGTAAGTTTACATTTTGTTCAATCAATATACTTCATCTTCAATATATTTCTTGAAGAAATATTTCTTCAAGAAATAATGGATAACTTTATAGTATAAATGATAATAAATACTTAATTTTCAGTGTTCAAAGCGCTCGGGCAGCAGCTAATCTACTCACCACTGAAAACTATGGCTTTCAATACTCACAAAATTATAAAAAATCATTCACAGCCAGGGATCCCGATACTCTGTATAGCGAACATGGCTTTTCTTACATGAAAGGGTTCGATGGTGCATACCCCAATTCCTTTACGTATAATTACCAACAAAGAACTGGAGGATATTACAATGAACCTCAGACCGTAAGTACCTTATCTGATATAAAAAAAAAAAAAAAAAAAAGAGTTACACATATAGTAACATCAAATATTTTTTTAAAGGTATCATTCATGTCTTCTACCTCAGAAGGTTTATTAAACCTTTTTTTTAAACAATTTCAACAAAGATATTATGAGAAAATGCCATCTAAACAAGGGACGAAAACACAATACTCATACAGCAAAATAAATGATATTCTTAATGTAGAATATGATGATCCATTACAAGTAGAAGCTAATATCTTCTTCTCAATCTTTGGAGGGGCGAGATATTATACCTTTGATAACCACACTATCGAACAGATACCTGAATGTAGGTATTTTTTGGAATACAATTTTAATTGGATTAATTAGTTAAGTACAATAGATGATCATTCATTATTAATTTTCATTCATAGTTATCAAGTACTTGAGTGAGAAACTGCGCCAAGGTTTCAACTACCAAGAAAGCAAGTTCTACAGTCCAAACACTGTCGAAATTGGTTTTCCCATGGTCACAGGTGTACAATTTTCTTATTCGTACGAAGAGCCAACAGTGGCGTATGTGGCTGTTCAAGGTAAAGGCCGTTTCGATCAGGACAATGAATGGCAAGATTATAACCGAGTGCCAATTAGCGCATCAACTGACGGAAAATACCAAGCAGTGTTAGTATTTTCACTAATTTTATAAAATGAAAACAATTACAAATATATATATTAATTTCTTTGAATTACTATTCATCTTTTTGCAGATGGTCACAAATGAAAACTGGAAAGTTGGGATTCATAGCTCCATACAGTGAACAAAGGCATCTTGCTATAGTTAATAAAAGGGTACAATTTTATGTACCCATGGAAGGTCAATTTGAATACTATGGACACAACAATACCTTCAGGGCTAACGTTCGCCCTTACAGTTCAGTCAAAAGTCCGCAAAATCTTTTCCAATACAGTACCAGAATGTACACTATGTATCAAAATTACCAAGATTTTAACGAGTACAGCAAAGGAAAGAATGTTCAGAAAGTCCATGCTAGACAAAACAGAACAGTCAGTATACATTTTTATCATTTTATTATTCATCATTTTTTTTAATGTATGTATATTAATCTAATTATATGTTTAGTATGAAGCTAAAGTTGGAAAAGATTTCACCGGCTATGAATTCAAAGTAGAAGCTCAAAGTGAAAATGGTTTTGCTGAAGTTTTGCGAGCTTACAACGCTTTCAAGAAGCAAGATTACAGTTACCTCGCATCTTCTTTCTTCCATGATCTGACGCATGGTCTTTACAACAACTATTACGCTATAAGCTACAATCCTCAGAACAGCTCTCCACAACCAACAGAGTTTTCATTTTACTACAACTCAACAGTGCGAGGAACAGAATACAAGTCAAGAGATCAAAATGTCAGGCGTATTCACAAGAAACCACAATCTGGCAATTTGGCTCAACTGTCTGATGAGGAATATAGAATTGACGAACTGGCAGCCAATGCACTTTCAGGAATACAAGACGGAGAAGCCAGTGTATTAGATGCATATGTATCCTTTGCTGGAAAGCAGGATAATGGAAAATATTATTTCACTACAGCTTATGCTGACAGCCCTGTTTCTGACAAATCGCGCTTCCTTGCGTTCATCACCGGCAGACCATACCAAGAATCCCAACAAGCTCAATCCTTCCAGGTAGGCTTTAATACATTATTAAAAATCGATAATTCATTGACAATATTTTACGAATTTTATTCAATTTAAATTACACGTCATTATGAGAGAAAATCAAATATAAACGTAACAATAATCAAACTTTTTATATTTATATTGATTGTTATATTTGAAGGCGGCAGTCCATGTAGACTTCAAACAGCCTCGAGTACCAATCTTCAATTACAAGCAGGCCTATGAAGCCAACCCAACATCTTACTTCCAAGGACGTGTTTACTTTGACCCAAGTGGAAGTTCTAAAATAGAGTTTGAGGTATAATGGAACATATTAAAGTGTTATTATTTTATTAATTATTGCAATAAGCTTAATTTTATTATATTGTTTTTTGTTTTTTTTTATTTCAGGGAAAAATGCAACAGACTGAAGCGCGAAAACAATACTTGAAGCAGCATCCTTACTCATCCGTCTGTGAAAAACAAATGCAGCAAGGCAACTACATCCTTCCAGCGTGCTATAACGCCAGCCAATTTGCTAATGTATTGGACAAATATGATGTTTCAGTTAAATACCAGAATCTTCCTCTATTCGTACAGAAGGCTTCCTATCAATTGTATGACACCGCACGTTACTGGGGATACCAATACATCCAAGAAAACTTTTTTGGAGTTAACAATCCAGAAGGCACATTGAAAATGTCACTGAAATATTCACAAAATCTAAATAACTTCAACTATTCAGTGGAGACTGAATCATTCAATTCTTACTTTGAAAATGTTACCGTCAACCACTTAGTTCAGCCATTCATAACTCATTCCCCAGCATACAATCAGCTATACTGGTATTCACCACATTACTACTACAGCACACCTTATGGTAAGATAAACCAAATGCTCCTAGTTAGTTAATGTGATTCAAAATATTTATTTGTTTGTATAGAAATGTTGAAATATAAATTACAACTACCTGTTTTACTATCTGTTTTGTTTTACAGCTACTTGTGCTATCGACAGCAATGCAGCCTCTACTTTTAACAACAGAACTTATCCCATCAGGCTTGGAAATTGTTACCATGTAATGGCAATGTCGACTCGGGGCAAATATCAGCAAGAGAGCCAGGAATCTTCAGAATACCAGAACTATCAAGATGAGTTTGTAGTACTTGTCAAGGAACCTGCTCCACAGAAGAAGGTGATTTTTTAGGACTATTAGTTTTATTATTAGGATTCCAACACTAACTAAATAATTTTTACTATTTTCATTGCAGGCAGTGCAAGTCCTCTTTGGCGATAATGTTATTACCTTAGAACCAACAGCACAGGCTGGCGTTACTGTTAAAGTCAATGGAGATAACGTCGCATTCTCTGACAGCAAAGTAACCAGAGTGGAATATGGCCCATACAAATTTGAGTGGTATGCCCTTCCGGGTAAAAACAACGTTGTCATGATTTTCTACGATCAATATTCCCAGTCAGAGCCTAACCAGCTCTACTATGATGGCCGTCGCGCATTACTATCAATGCCTAACAGCTTTAGAAAACAACTTATCGGCCTTTGCGGACCCTTCGATGGTGAACCTTCCAACGATTTCACTACCTCAGGTAACTGCGTAGTGAGGGACTATGAGCAATTCATAGCTTCTTACGCAGTTGCTGATGAATCCTGCAAGGGTCCATCAAAGGAATACCTTAGTCAACCCAAGAATGAACAATGCTACCACAGGGAAGTAGTTTACGGTGACGTTGTATCTGATGCTGAAGCTGGCCGACGAACCAGGTTGACCACATCACGCAACAACACTGTTGGAGGTAAACAAGGTAACAAAGGTCAATCAGGATGCACTGTGATCTTCCGTCCTCATGTTTTCAATGACGGACAAAACACCTGCTACACTCTTCAACCCCAACCCGAGTGCCCCTTCCACTGTAAAGCAACCAGCAATGTAGAGAGAACTACTGGTGTCCACTGCATACCATCGACCGACGGTCTCGCAGTTCACTGGCAGAGCCTAATGCAGAAAGGAGCTAATCCTGATTTCAGCCAAAAGACTTCAACTAAAACAATAAAGATCCTTGTTCCAACATCTTGTGAAGCCAAATGAATATTATAAAATTATGTTCAAGATAAATAAATAAATAGAAATATTGATAATATCTATTTGTTTTGTTTTTGTTGTTAAGCCTCGTATGAACTCTTTGGAGAACAATTCAAGGGTAGAGGATGAAAGAGATAGATAACTTTGGGAACATTTTTATTTTAATAGTTGGCAAGAACTGATAAATTGACCAACCTAGGATACACACCTGCCTAATTAGAGATTGAGGCAATTTGTATTCAATATTTTCTGGGCTCAAAAGATGTTATTTATCATGTTCATCCATTTGAGTCTTAAAACATTCTCCATAACAACACTTGGTCTAAACAATGTCTCACCAATGATCCTCCACTTCAACTTGTACAATATAGAAAGTTAGGGCTAACAGTATCTACTATTTGAAGCCATCTAGAAGCCAACAATTTCATTTCTCTCTTCAGTTCCTTGACCATGGGTACCCTAAAGGAAATTTTATTTTCAAACTCGTACTAACTTATTGAGCTCATTTAGAAAACTTATATGAGGAGTTGGTCGGGGGTTGCGGTCAAATAAATACTAAATTTTAAAATATAGTATTTTTAATTATTACGCCGACGTTTCATGGAAAACTTATCATTTCCCACTTAATTTTATCACGATATTCAATCAACAGAAGATAATCCAATTAAGCACCTTTTCTTTATATGGGACTTGTATGGATTAAAATCAGATCTTTTTATAACATATTAATATGATTTGGAGTTTTAAAAAAATTATTACACTAAATCAGTTTCGTAGAGTTCAAAAAATCATGGTCTGGATTAATGGATTAAGACACTGTCGTAAAATATGTTACAACTAAACTGAGTATGTGTGACACAACTTAAAAATACGTTATAACAAAACTTACAAAATGAAAACTTGAATATGCAACGTTCTACTTGACAACGCATGGATTCAACATCCGATAATAAAGGTAATCAGCCTGATATACAGGACATTAACTGAGTAAAACAAAGAGATAAGTTGGGTCCAATCCAAGGTAGCGGATTTCCTTGAAAGCAACAATATTTTCCTTACCTCATTGGGGACAAGGCAAATACAAAAATAGTTTCATTTCTTTTCGATTTGAATAAACTTTAATCAACGATCATCTGAACAGTTTACCAAGTCCAACAATTCTTCTTTTTCGTTTCGTGTTATAACAGATTTTGTTTTAATTTGATTTCGTTAATTATTTTCTTTCTTTTTTTTAATCTGAACATCTCCTGCAGCCAATAGACAAGGATTACTGACATCGCTCTAGCAAAAAGAAAGCGAGGAAAGATTTCGTAAGTGAATAATAGAACGGTGGGAGAATTAGGTTCCAAATCTTGTACAAGTAGGGAAAAACGTGTGCCAAGTAAGGTCAATTACCTTCCTCGCCGTTTTCATTGGCTAAAAAATATCTATATTACAAGGTCTACATTTCTTACTTTCACTTACGTATATATGTAATATATAGTAAGGGTAAGTATTGCGATCGAGAAATTTTTTTAATCCGAGTTTTCACCGGAAATATACGTTTTGAGGTATCCTGAGTCGAAGTAACCAAGTCCCGAAAAATGGTCTGTGTGTCTGTGTGTTTGTATGTTAGCAGTCTAGCTCAAAAACAAAAAGTTCTACGAAACTGATATTACGTTGATATTAGATGTGACAGCAACTTTTTCCTTAAAAATCGGCTAACCGGAAGTGCCACTTTATATCGACGCCGAAACACATTTTCATAATTTTTTTAAAAACGCCTCTAACGATTTTGATTAAACTTGGTGTATCATTGCAAAATTAAGTGTTATTTAATAGGTCTTATCCCCATTGATGTCACTTTACAGGGTTTAAATGTCCAATGTTCAAATACGTCTTCCTCTAAAGTACCTTTAATATGATTTATTTTAAAAAGCTAATCATTTCATATTATTCAGAGTTACGAAAAAATGCTAAATATAACTTTTGAAAGAATTTGATGAGTTAATAAAGGAGAAAAAAAAATAATAATGCAGAAAAACTTGCGTCGCTATAGACCGTAGCGCCTAAACGAATGTACCGATTTCAATGAAACTTCGCTAACGTCATTTACTCGACACCCTTTAAATTTATTTATATAACATACTTCAACGAAAAAAAGCTGGAATCAATTTGATTGGCTAATCAATAATTTCAGGTTTCACTGAGTTGTTATAAAAGTTTGTTGATATCCACTAAAATAATTTTTCCGCTTTTCAGAGGACAGACATACGCGTCGATTGAGCAAAAAAAAAGACACATTTAGTTTGCTCATCGGGAACCATTACACATTGAAGGTAATTTTGGAAGTTCCATGGTAATTCTGTGTATTCCCATACACATGGTAATCCTACTGCAAATTTTTCGATTACATCCATTCTTTGAAAATTGTTCGAAAACATTTATTGAGATATCTATATCAATAATTAACAAACAATAGTTGCCACCGTTGACTTGAGGCCCTTTGCAATTAATATTTGTCGACGTTTCTCAATGCCTGTTACCCGGAGGTAAACATGATAATAACCAGAGGTGCCCGCAGAGGAGTTATATGCCGCATGATGCGTCATAAGATTTTTTTAGGGACAAATTAAGTTTGCAATTTTAAGAGAACATTTAAACCAGGAAACAAAGAAAAAAAACGCACTGAGGTAAGCGTGTATATATAAAAATATTTAAGGACGCCGCATACTTGGAAAAGCGGCAGATATGATTTTATCCTAAGTACCCAACACAACTAGGACATTATCTTCCGTATATCCAGTTTCAGCATTAACTCAAATTGCGCCACTTGTTTGAATTATCGGTAAGCGGCACCTTCATTATATTGTATTGTGTGTTTATGATAAATACAACTAATGCCTTTTCCTAGTTATAAGACACAGAAACAAATTTAAAATAATGTAGCAACAAAACAATAACTTATTAAATGTTATCATCAGTGACAGGTCGTTTCAACATTCTAAAATAAACTAATTAGGAAATAAAAACTAATTTTTCCATCTTCAAATTGATTGCCCTCCTCATATCAAAATAATGTAAGCCCTTTTGAAAAGGCTCTCGCAATTATTTCAGATGAAATTCTCATTTAAAAGAAAAAAATTTTAAAAATAAAATAATAATGAATTCCTGGCATGGGCATACGCAGAGAAGGGCAGGGAGGAGCCTTGCATCCTCTAAATATTACTTGTTGATTGTAATTGCCTCATATATGGTGCCTTTAAATTTCTGGAGAAACAAACCAATATTATATCTACTATCTTTTAAAGTAACTTATTGATGATATTACATCTCATGTAGATACATATTAATTATATAAGTGAGAGGGGAAATAATATATTGTTTTTGGGGGAGGATATGCGCCATCGGCCTTGGGGAGCTGGGCACTCCTGATAATAACTATACTATGACTAGATTAACAATAAACGTTAATGTAGTTCTGTATCATACGTTACATATCAAATAAAATAAAAAAGGAAAGATAAAAAATCGGTAGGATGTACAGTCAAAAAATTATCAATTATAAGAACGAAGAACTATAAGGAAAATGAAGAACAATTCATGGACGAGAATAAACCGATACGTGTCCACAAAAACGTTTAAAAAGTAAGGTAAGATAAAATAATTTGATACTAAATTTTATGTTGAAGTTCTGAATCCTGTTTCATGTACAAGTATTAAAAAAATGAAAATATTATTTTGCTAGCGGAAAGTCTAATACTATTGGCATTATCTGAAATTTGTAATAAAAAATCTATTAGTTTAACAGTAGAATGAACCAAACTTCAAACATATCAAGATAAAAAAAGCATAAAGTATAATATCTTATTTGATTATATATATATATATATATATATATATATATATATATATATATATAATATATATATATATATATATATATATATATATATATATATATATATATATATAACGTATTTAGTAGCTGAATAAAACAAGAATTTCTAATGCCGAAACAAGAATTTTATATAAACGTCACGTCATCTACAACAGTGTCATTTATTTTCATATATTAATTCTACCGAAAAATAATGGAGTTATAGAATTATGAACAAAAAAGTCCAGTTAGGAATCACTATACGCAAGGAAATTATGAAGCTCATATTCAGAGGACATTAATCCACTATATTGTCGCCTAGTTTCATTATGAATACAGGGAATCCGGTTTTGAAATAGAATGTAGAGTCTTAGCCCTTTCTTGCTATTCCCACTGATTATATTGTAATATAATATTATATATTACATTGTAATATGTCAACATGGTTCCGGTTAAATTTCAAAGAAAAAGTTATGTTACTTATGAGTATACCAGAAAGTTCAGTATTCGCAATTTAGACACTCGATTAAAAGTTGATGGTTAGATATTTAAAAGAAATAACGAATACTATGAACAGCGGGCCAAACACGGAAATCATTATGCAAAAAAAACTTTCTTTCGAGTTATGCCGTTGTTGCAGTAACATGTAGATGGTTTCGCCAGGCTTGTCTTAACCCTCCTGCGTCCGCACAATCATTTCGAACAATTATACTTACGCTGGACCTTTAAGGTGACAATACATTTTCGTGATCTCTAAGTGAATATTAAAGAATTTCTCAATGAATATTTAAGAAGTTCTCTCACAAATTATTTGGCTGAAAAACAATGTTCATTTTGAACGAGGATATTGGAATAATTTTAACGATTTTATCTATCCAAAACAAATTGGAAAATAAAATATTTATGCTAGACCAAACAAAAATTACAAATTACTATTATTTTTTTTCTATATACAAACAAGTTTACCTTTTGTTATGTGCAATAATGTTATGCAAAATATATTATTAAATTTCTCATAAAAATAGTTTTAATTTGTCAATTTAAAAAGAAAAATGTTTTAATAGTTTTCTCAATGTTATTTTTTAACATGTTTTTCTTCAATTTTTCTTAAACATATATCTCAATTTTTGATTCCCCGTGAGTGTCCGCTTCTTGTGAAGAGAAGTTTAATTATAATAACTAAAACGGCCTAGCATTTTTAGTAATAATGAAA